GTGGGATTTTTTTTTTCTTTCTGGATTGCATCCAGTGATGCTCAGGGGTCACTCCTCACTTTGCACTCAGGGATTACCCCTGGTGGTGCTTGGAGAACCATATAGCATGCCAGGTATTAAACCTAGGTCAGCCGCGTGCAAGGCAAATAAGGCAAATCCTACCCACTGTACTATTGCTCTGGTCCAAGATAAGTGGGATTTAGTCCACAAATAGTGGGTTCAGCTTTAGATGCAATTATTGATTCTTCTTCCTTCAAATAGAAGAAAAAAATGTCTTGCAGACATTAGCAACAAAATACTTTTCTGGCTATAAAAATGTATCTTAGTGTGTTATCTAATAAAGTAGTAAATGAAGCATCATTTAAAAGTGCAAGAGAAGGAGGTTTTGGAGAATTAAGAAAAAAATAACCAAAACCAACAGAGAATGAAGTCTTGGAACAATACATCAGGAAAGAGAGAATGGTGCCTAGAGAGGAGTTAGTCTATATTTAAACCACAACAGTTAGTAATCTTCCATACTTGTACATTTTTCTAAAAATGGCTGCTTAGATTGATGCATACAGATGCTTCAGAAAAAGACTTTTGATGGGGAGAGTTCCGTATCGTATATTCAATGTTAGAAGAATATAGCTATCTCATTGTGATTTTATTTCCTTTACTTACTCTTATTATCCAAAAGTCTCATTTTCTACTCTCCATAAATCTGCTTTACTTTAATACAGCATATAGATGGAAAGAGATCCCCAAAGTAATACTTGTAATGTACTGCATATTTGTTTCACTCTCAAAAGTTAGTGTGTCTCTAGGTCAAAAATTCCCAGTAATTATGGGCTAGAGAGATAGGGCAGTGGGTAGAGCACTTGCTTTGGACACAGATTTGTGTTTCATCCCCAGCATTTCAGGTAGTCCCTTGAACCCTGATGTGCATTTTCCCTAAGCACAGATCCAGGAGTAATATCTGAGCACAAGGTTTGGAGCCAAAACAAAACAACAAAATTCTCACTAGTGAGGTATTTTTTTAACCAGGTCACACTACACTATTTATTAAATGCATATCTTATAATAGTAGTTTTGCCAATAACTTTAGTTTTTATTTTTTCATAATTTTATTCATTTATTTATTTTTTCTTCTTATATTGATTTATTGAATCACTGTGGGAAAAGTCACAAATCTTTCAGGTTTAAGTCTTGGCCATACAATTATCAAGCACCTTTCCCTTTTACCAGTACTCATTTTGCACCACCAAGAACCCCAATATACCTCCCACCCCTCCCAGTGCCTGTGGGGCTGATGATTTCTACTTAACTCTTCTCTACATTGATTACATTCATTATTTCGACAAAAGATGCACCGTTATTATTTAGAATCCCCTCTCACTCAACAATCAGAATTGTTGAAAAGGCATTGTGAAATTACTTTATTTTCTATAGCTGGTTATGAGAATCATATAATGTTGTGCGGCTGCAATAGTGGCCGCACAATTTTGAATTTCTACAAAAAGCCAGATAATTACAAGTTTGGTTTGGCTTTCCTATAAGCTCTGAGGCAGCGGCCACTTTGCTGCTTGCGGGGGGAAAGGCAGAAGGGAGCAACACCCTTTCCCTCCTGGGGAGACATGGCACCATAGTTTAACACATGGACCATTCACTTTTCTGCCGCAAGCTGCCAGGCCCTGGACTAAGTCCTTTTGTCTATGAAGCCATGGCCATGCCAGAGTGCTGCTTGTGAGGGGCAACTTGTGACCTTGGTAGGGCGTGAAGGATGAGCCGGTACCGCCCCCTCCCTTCCCATGAGACTGCAGTTGCCCCAATCACCGCTGACTCATACCTGACTTTCCTATAAGCTCTGAGGCAGTGGCCACCTTGTTTGGGGTCCAGATGCATTTCTGCCAAAAGCCGCTGGATTTTGAGATTTGTTTCTGAGTCTCTAGGATCATGGCTATTAATCAGCTTGATCAGGAGTCAGAGAGGCCGTTTGTAGGTGGCGACTTGGGCTCTCATTGGGATGGGGAGGAAAGGGCCAGTTCCACCCCCATCTAGTGAGGCCCCACATGTCTCATCACTGTAGGCCCAAACCTGACTGTCCAGTGGCTTCTGGAGGATAGCAGTCACTGGGCTGCCAGGGGGAACAGGCCAAGGCAAGAAACCTATTCCCACCTGGAGTGGCCCAGCACCAATAAACTACTGCTGGAATTGGACGCATTTCTACCAAAATCCTTTGGGTTCCGAGATTCGTTTCTGAGTCTCTGGGATCATGGCCATTAAACAGTTTGATCAGGAACCAGAGAGGCCTTGTTTCCAATTATATAGCTGAGCCGGAGGTGGTTTGTGAGTGTGTCTCCCACATACCTAACCTTTGGCCATTTACTTTCCTTTTTTTTTAAGTGTATAAAATATTAAATTTATTAGGCTTTGGAAAAAGAAAAACTTTGTCACATGTGCTTTTTCAAATTCTTCATTAGTTTCTGTCAGAGCATTAGCATTTGATCATAGTTTTTGCGTCTACGCTTTTTCTGCTTCCAAGGCATGTGTAATTAAATACATGTAATTCAACTCCCAACCTCTTGCTATTTGGGGGAGATGAAAGGCAAGGAATAGAGAGAAGGGACCAAATAGGATGGCCATTTACTTTCTTGGTAAACTTTGCCCCAAGTTTTTGGAGTCTGTCCAAAGCCACAGCAGCAATTTTGGGGTATCTGAAAGTCTGACAGTGCCATCAGGCTGCTGATGCACTCTCCTCACAGGTACAGATTGACCTGCTGGTGGCACCATACCCCCGCCAATAACTTTAGTTTTTTGGGGGGGTACATATGGGAGTGTGCAAAGGATATTTCTAGATCATTGTTTGTGGGTCAAACCTGAACTCCTGCATAGAAAAGCATTTGCTCCATTCTACTAAGCTCTCTCCTCATACTTATTTCAGTAACTTTAATTCTCTGATCAATTTCTGTCACTAAGGAAGACAAATAGTTTTATAATTAGGAAAAGAACATCTTGAAAATAACTCTCTAGAAAATAGTGTAGCTTAGAATTTATATATATATATATACATATATATAGCATGATAATATATTAATTCTCAAAGCTATTGGGAAGAGCTGCTGCTAAAAATTCGTTTAATTGGTCAAACACATAGCAGACTTTATAGGTGTTTTGGACTTAGACCTCATTTTATTTGGAAGAGTTTTATAGAGACCTTGCCTGGTTTTACCCAGGGTTTTCTTCTGATTCTGTACTTAGGGATCATTCCTGGAAGTACTTGGGGAATCATATGTTTTCCCCGTATGCGGAGGATTGAACCAGGCTTGGCCAAATGCAAGCTAAATTCCTGAGCCCTTAATTCCTGTAGTATGTCTCCATTATCTGAACCTAGTTTCTATATGTGTATGTATGCGAGAGTATTTGCTCACATCTAACAAGAAATTTTCTATTCACCTCATCTATGAGACCACCCATAGGTTCTACAGGTTAGGAGTCCAATATCACATTACTGCACTCACCCCACTTCAAGAGACAATCTCAATTGTGACTTTATTACATCTACTTACTCTTATTATCCAAAAGTCTCATTTTCTACTCTCTACAAAGTGCTGACTATAGTCCAGGGTTCATTAACCGTCTCCTAGGGTTTCATTAATTTGAAAACCTGGTATCTTATGAACTCAGGGAAACACTTGCACTAATTTATTAAAGGATATAAATGAAAAACTATACATATGGACAAGAGGAAGGAAGAAATGCATCAAATAAGATTGAAAAAAGTCCTTAGCAGAGGATGTCTTTGTAGTGTTAAAATAGATTACCCTACCAGTATATAAACTCTACTTTGGGGATTTTGAGACCACTTTGTCACATGGCATAATCTTTTATTAATTACTCTTTTAGTCCTTTTCTCTTCTCAAGAGAATGGGGTCCAAACTAAGAAGTCTAAATTTGTAATCTTGGCTAGTATTTCCACTAGGCAGTCTTCACTCAGGAACCCACCTAGAATATCAAAATAAATTTTTTGTAGAAAAAAGAATGTATATTCATACATACTGTAGTCAGTGTAATGCACACAATAGTGGTAAACATATTAGTTATGATGTAAAAAGTTGTAATATCATCATCAAAGTACCATGGTAGACACTCCTAGCACCAAAGAAATTCTAAGGATTTCAGGAGTTCTGTTTCAGCAATTGGGGGATGAGGCCAGTACTCTTTTAAAACAGTGTTCATAGCTTGAATATTTTCAACCTAAATGTTTCTAAAATTAAATATATTTTACTTATTTGTGTGTTTTAATTAATCCAACTCCTAACCATATTGGAATACGAATTGACTTAATGTGGATCTTTCTAAAGTGGTTTTATTTAATTAATTATAATATGATTCTTGTGAACTGAAGCGATAGCACAGCGGTAGGGTGCTTGCCTTGCACGCAGCCAAAATAGCTGACCCCAGAGTTGGATTCCTCTGCCCCTCTCGGAGAGCCTGGCAAGCTACCGAGAGTATCTCGCCTGCACAGCAGAGCCTGGCAAGCTCCCCGTGACGTATTCGATATGCCAGACACAGTAACAACAAAGTCTCCAATGGAGATGTTACTGGGCCCACTCGAGCAAATCGATGATCAATGGGAGGGCCTTTACTTTTACTTTACTTTACTGTGAACTGAAATAATAGTGCAGTTGGCAGGATGTTTGTGTTGCTTGGGTTTGATCCCCAGCATCCTGTGTTGTCCAGTGAGCAAACTCCAGGATTGATCTCTGAGCACAAAGCCAGGGGTAAACCCTCATCACCAAATATGTTGCCCCCCAAAAAACAAAACAAAACAAATAGATAAATATTTCCTTGAGAATTTAACAACCCTGCAGGGTGTCACCTTGGGGGCCTGTGAGAAATGTCAAATGGAGGAGCATTAAATGAATAATCAACAACAGGTTGTCTCATATTAATTTAATATGGTAGCATCTCTGATCAGTTCCCAATAGAGAAAAAAAATCTGTTCAAACTGAAATATACTAAAGGTGGAGCAAATGGAATTCTGGAAGTCAAACCATCTGCTATGAGACTCTGAAATGAAAAAGGAGATGGAACAGGCCTTGTGTGCAAAGTACATGCAAGACCTACTGATCTGCCAACAACACTTAAAATAAATTCCAAAAAGTAAACTCGAGGTGTGTGTGACCATTTGACAAATCTAATTGAACCTTTGTATAACTGATTAGAATGAACAAGACTGCATGTTTGTTAATTTTTGAAATGTTCTTCATGTCTAGACTTACCAAACATTTCAAATAATTATTACAAAAGTAACAAAAGTAACAAAATATAAGCATAAGTAGGCATCAGTAAATGGTATTTTGTAAACTGTTTCCTAATGCTCATTTATTGACACTATTATGTGCCAAACAAAATTTTTCATTTTGTTATTTTGTTTGCGTGAGGCTCATCCAAGTGTGTGGAGAGTGGTCCCAGCATGGCCTTGGCTGGGCCTCAGTGGTCTTCAGCTGTTGGGCCCTGGTGGAGACAGTCAGGCATAGTGTAGGAGACTCTGCCTTGTTCTCTCCCAGGAGCTGAGTGTGATGATCTCTGCACCCTGGCCGTTGTTGGAGTTACATGGCAGTTGGTGGGTGTAACTGTCTAGTTACTGGCAGGTCCAGTCCCAAACTGTGCAGGCTTGGAGATCTCAGCCCCGGGTCCCACACACCTGGGTTCCTCTGTCAGTTCTTTTATGCGTGAGGCTCATCCAAGTGTGTGGAGAGTGGTCCCAGCATGGCATAAAAGAACTGACAGAGGAACCCAGGTGTGTGGGACCCGGGGCTGAGATCTCCAAGCCTGCACAGTTTGGGACTGGACCTGCCAGTAACTAGACAGTTACACCCACCAACTGCCGTGTAACTCCAACAACGGCCAGGATCCAGAGATCATCACACTCAGCTCCTGGGAGAGAACAAGGCAGAGTCTCCTACACTATGCCTGACTGTCTCCACCAGGGCCCAACAGCTGAAGACCACCGAGGCCCAGCCAAGGCCATGCTGAGACCACTCTCCACACACTTGGATGAGCCTCACGCATAAAAGAACTGACAGAGGAACCCAGGTGTGTGGGACCCGGGGCTGAGATCTCCAAGCCTGCACAGTTTGGGACTGGACCTGCCAGTAACTAGACAGTTACACCCACCAACTGCCGTGTAACTCCAACAACGGCCAGGATCCAGGGATTATCACACTCAGCTCCCGGAAGCGACATCTTATCATCTCATTCCTAATTTGGTCAAACTGGCAGGGTACCAAATGTAACATGCCCACACGGCAGAGTCTGGCAAACTCCCCGTGGTATACCCAATATGCCAAATACCAGTAACAATGATGGGTCTCATTCTCCTAACCCTGAAAAAGCCTTGAATATGGCACTTAAAAAAAAAAAATCTCAGGGCTAGGACGAAGAAGACGTTACTGGCACCTGCTCGAGGCAATCGACGAACAACAGGGTGGTCGTGATCGTGATCGTGATCGTTATTTTGTTTGAGGGTCACACCTGGTGATTTTTTCCCGGCTCTGTGTTCAGGGATTACTCTGTATTCAGTGATTACTCCAAGTACAGCTCCTGGGAATGCATGTGGTACTGGGAATTGAACCTAGGTTGGCTGGCCACAAGCGAGTACCATGTCCTCTGTATTAACTTTCTGGTCCTCAAACAAAATTTTACACCAGGAGGTTGGCGGTCATATTTTTTGCAATGAAGTGAAGATAAGTTATAAAAACATTTAAGGACCAAGATATTTTTCACTGTTCTTCAGAGATTTTATTTTATTTTATTTTTTTTATCATTTTTTTTATTAGTGAAACACCATGAAGTACACTTATAGACTTATAAATTTTTGTGCTTGGGTTTCAGTTATACAATGATCAAGTACCCATCCCTCCACCAGTGCCCATCCTCCCCCACCACGGGTCCTAGCATCCCTCCCACCCCCCATCCTCCCCTCCCCCGTCCCACCCTGCCGCTGTGGCAGGGCATTCCTCCCTGTTCTCTCTCTCTTCTTTTGGGTACTGTGTTTTGCCAGGAGGCATTGAGTGGCAGTCATGTTTGGTCTATAGACCACTTTTAGCATGCTCTCCCACCCTGGGAGGGTCTTCACAACACCCTTTATTTGGTGCTCTCTTCTCTATCTGAGCTTTCTTCTCACCTAGCACATGTGGCTGGCCTTCAAGTCATGGAGCAAAATTCCTGGTACTAATCTGATCCCTTCCTGGGTGTTAGTCTCCCGTTTTGTTGCTTTATGTTCCCCAGATGAATGCAATCTTTCTGTGTCTATCCCGCTCTTTCTGACTCATTTCGCTTAACATGATACTTTCCATGTAGTACCACTTGTATGTAAATTTCATAACTTCATCTTTTCTAACAGCTACATAGTACTCCATTGTGTAAATGTACCAAAGCTTCTTTAACCAGTCATCTGTTCTCGGGCACTCAGGTTTTTTCCAGATTTTGGCTATTGTAAAGAGTGCTGCAATGAACAAACAATTGCAGATGTCACTTCGACTATACATTTTTGCCTCTCTGGGATATATTCCCAGGAGTGCTTGAGATTTTATATTAGACTAGTATCTCTGCCTGTTTATTTGAGGGTACTAAAATAATTCTCCAAAAAATCAAACCTATGTAACTCTGTTTATGTACAACATTTTCCGTATGGTCTATATATGCCATATTACACTGATTGTTATTTATAGACATTTCATTTTTTATCCTGGATGTGAATTAGTACTGAGTCTCAGACCCAAACTAAAAGAGGAAAAGAGGAGTCATTGAGAATAATAGTTAGTGACAAATGACAAAATCAAATTAAGAAAACAACAGGGAAGTTAGAGCTTAAAAGAAATGTATGGAGAACTAATTTCAGCTACTCAATACGCATGTAGTTCTTGCAGCTTTTAAAAGCAGTGGGTATTGTTTGAATAAGTAGGAGTGTTCCTTTATAACAATCCAAGTTTTAAAACTCATGAAGTTTACTTTAAAATTGCAAGGGACACTGGTTATTCGCCAAACTTCCAAGTGAGTGATGGCATCAGTAAAGGTATGCTGATGTAGTATGTGCTAGAGCTGATGCACGTACAAAAGCCAGAGAGCCTAATGCAGTCTGTGTCATACTTAGACTAAGTAAATGTTATAAGGAGGTTAAATAAAGCTTTTTGGGGAACATATTTAGACATACTTAAATTAAGCAAATGTTATGACTTACTTAGACTATGACATAGTAAATGACTATTATAGAAGATAAAGGCTTTTAATTTATATATAAATACAATATAGAATTTATTTATACTTATCTAAACATTGAATATGTTTCTGTTCCAAAACAAGCAGAGGATATTACCACTATAATTCTAGCTTCCAGGAGGAGGAAAATTAGTTATACTTTACTTCAGTTTTTTTTGTTTCAAAACAAATTATGCTATGCAGATGAACACTTTAAATAAAATTATTGTGTTTATAGGCACACATAACTTGTACTTTTGATCTGATATAATGAATAGGTTTACATGGTGTATATCTTATATTATCAGAATAAAACCATTAAAACAATAAACTGTTTATATGTAATCACAGTCTACAACACGTGGGGGTTAATTTACTAGATATAAAAAATTACTTTTAAATTCCTAGGAAAATATGCTTACATAGTACAACACATGTTTTGGCCTTTTAGCTTTTTAAGAAGAAAAACATTTACATGACACATTAGCACAATTTTCATAGCACAGAAATAGCTAGTATATGACAGAGCAACAGTTTTCTTCATTAGTTTCATTGTAAACAGGAATGCTAACAGCTGTATGAATTTGTCATTGCTCCATCTACATTTATATCTCCTGGAAGCAGTGGGCATAGAATTGAGTTTCATTTAAACATTTCTATAATAAGAGAGACTATGCTATGCCCTTCATGTTAATTATCAGCATTTTATGAGCAGAATAGTAGTCTATATGTAAATAAATGAAAGTCTCATTAAAATATAAAGCTGTAATCTAACCAACTATAGTTGCAAAAGGTTACTATATCTTATTTCTGTCATGCTTAATATTTATAACATTTTCAGAAACAGAAATGTTTTGTTGCTCTGTTTTAAACTATTACCTCGTTCTACCACTCCCAGTCAATTCACTTTTCACCTCAATATAGACCATGACAATTATTTGAGATTTGAAAGCAATAACCCTGGCAAAAATGTCAAATTTTCATTTTGGTTTGTTTGTTTTTTTGAGAGTTTAGGCAATTAACCAATTTACAACCAACGTAACACTGTTTCTTAGGAAAAATAATAGCATGTCAAACTGTTAAATGCATAAGTATAATATTTTCTTTAAACCTTATTTCCAGTCAAAAAGGAGTGGATATGCCTGAATGAGAACTCTTAGCTTTTTAGTACTTTGTCTTCCTTATGTCAAATTTCTTAACTTTAATCCATTTGTGTTTGTTATTCTATTACTGTCACATTACCTACTCCTGGATATTTATTATTCTTTATTTCATAGAACACATATAACTTTATGAAGAATGTCATAATGGCTATTACTAATGGATTTCTAAGATTATGGGATTAACTTAATGGAATTAATTTAATATAGTATTACATTTTGTTTTATCTTTTTTATGTTCACAACGATGTATGTGACTGTATATGTGTTTTTGGTACAATTTAATGTTTCTTCATATATATTACACTGCAAACACTACTGAAGTATCAATATAACACCACCAGGCATCAAACTCTTTTAAACCTTCTGTTCTTCCTCCCCTCTCACCCTTTAATAACCTTATTTCTGCAGAGTCCAAAGGTTTGTTTCTTTATGATTTTCCCCCACTTGTTTTGCTTCTCCATAACTCACATACAGTTAAGATGATCCAGTGTTTTTCTTCCTCCTTCTGACTTATTTCACTTAGCATTACCTCCCCCAATTCTGACAGTGTTAAAAAGGCAAAATTTTATATTTTTAGTAAATTATTGACATTCCATTATGTATTTATCATAATCTTCATTCACTCTATGATTATGTTAAAGATAATTTGTTTCCATGTGTTGTTATTGTAAATAGTATTGCAATAAACATAGACGTGTATTGCATGTATCTTTTGAAT